ACCATTGTCATTTGAAAAAATAAAATAAATCACTCTTACAAAAAAAGCATCTGGTAGTCGTGTGTGCTGACTTTGTGACTCTTGTACAACCACTTATGACTATAGACTGTTTTCTCTCTTGAGCTCATGATATCCTCTTAAAATCATTGAAATAAACTAAAAACTATCCAAAATCTTTTAAGTTTTCACCTGACATTTTGCTTCATTTGTTTGCTGGGAACTATATTTATTTCTTAACATGCCAATTCTGAATATATGTATATTTAATGTGTAGATGGTTTGCATTTTAAGTCCTCATATGTAGGACATTTATTATTTTTTATTTTCATCCAATTGATGTTTAGGCCTTTTCTTATTTTAGTTTGTGGCATTCATCCTACTGCACGTGGAGTAACAGAAGCTGGATGTTTCAGCCACTGGTGGGTTACCTTTAGCTATTTATTAATTTCCTCCGTTGCCTGCTGGCTAACTAGCCAATATGCACTCCACATTGAATGTAGGCACTAAATACTGATTAAATGTAGAGATAGTTTTTTTTTAAAGTGGTCTTACATTGTGGTAAATTTAATATTTTGGCTTTTATTCTGGTAGGACTAAACAAGACATTGCATGCTGTCTCCTTGATGGGAATATTTCATAATTTTTAATTATCAAAATCCTCAATCATATTAATTGATAATAGCCTAGCAATCTGTTGGAAAAGAGCCCTATTTATTTCCCTGCTAAACACACACAAGTGTTTATTTTGCAAAATCATAATATATATATTTTTTTATTAGCTGCTGTACCTCATAATCTTTCTGTGTACACCCTGGCAACTACAAAAGTATCCCTGCTTGTGAATCCTTGCACTTTGTGATTGTTCAAATATATTGTATGAAGATAAAATAAGTGTTGCCGCGTAATTCACGTCTGAAAAGAGTGAGGAAATGAAACTTTCTTTCCAAAGTAAAAGTATTTATTTGATGACATATTAGTAAATACAACTTAACAAGGTCATAGTAGCTTTACAGGTTTATACTGTTACAAGCAGAAAAAAGCTCTTAAAGATCAGGCTTTGGCCTTCCTCTTTCTTGGGCTTTCCATCTTCATTCAAGAGGAAGAGGATGAATCCTTCTCATTTTTTAATTTCAGTGGGGCCGTTGCTCTGTGCTTTCTCGGTCTTGTTGATGTCTCCTTAGGCAGTTGCAGGGGCTTTATCTGCTCCGGCATCCTCTCCTGCCTGCACCTCCTGCTGCTTGGAAACCTCATCATCAGGCTTCTGTTGGTCTGGAAACAAGAATAATCAGATTGTACAGGTTCAGTGTTTAGCATCCTTTTGGTTCTTCAGATTTCCTTTAATATGTGTGTTTCTGCTAGTGACCAGAATGTCACCAGAGTTTGTCAAAAAATGATATATTTCCATATATATATTCTTTCTTTTTGAGTGATTTGATTGTTAAAATCATTACATTTATTCCCATGCAGTGTTAAAATTGGCTGTGATTACATGCAGTTACAGGGTGCAATGTGACGGTTGAGTGCAGTTTAGTGACATGAGCAGCTTTAAAGGGATCATTTTACGTTTTGGGAAATAATGAGAACGATGAGAAGATCCACAACGCTTTTATATGTCGTCCATTAAATATTCATCTAGGGCCAGCTGCCATTCGCTTAGAGAAACAGAAACAAGTTGGGTGTTTCTGTTTCCAGTCTTTGTGCTAAGCTAAGCTAACCAGCTACTGGCTGTATCCTTATATTTAATCAACAATATGAGTGGTACCAATCTTCCCATCTAACTCTTGAAAAGAAAGCATATTTCCCAAAACTATTCCTTCAAAAAGGGTTAGATTTCAAGTTTAACTATGGTTAGTGCATCCCCATAACATTCATATTTCATTCATTATGCAGTGAGGAATGTCATAAGCCAGGTCACTTTCTGGTGGCAGAGATAAACTGTTCGATCATCACAAACATGCTGGAGTCATTGTGATTTTATTTTATTAAGTATGTTTTTTTCCGGCCGGATTCCAGAACTTACCGCCGTCCAAGGCGTCCTCTAAAGCAAACTCCAAGCTGTTAGGGAAGAGGAGGATAAGTATGCTAAGGCAGATAAATCATGTTTTTGTGTGTGCTGTCCCTTTTAACCTTTTAAAGAAGCAGTTCAACATTTCGGGAAATACATTTTTAGTGTATTTCCCAAAATTCCAAATGCAGGATTTATGGAAGATTTACTCATTTAGTCCATCTCAAATTAATGAAAGAAAAATGCAAGAAAGATGTGATTTACAAATTTTAAATGTGAACTTTAATACCTGTTACTGCTGTAGTATCATATTAACACACAGTTTATCATGTTTTTAGCAAAATGGACAAGGGAGTAAAATCTGCAATATTTTCTGGTTTGTTGTTTTCTTTCGAAAGTATTAATTTTTTATTTCCTCATTTATATTTTGAACCCAACAACAGAATTTCATTTGCGCAAAAAATGATTCATCTAAAGCTCTAACATCATGACCATCTGACCATCCTCACCTTTCAACATCGGCCGTCATTCCATGAATCAGATGCTGGTAGCCAGCGATTTCCGCCTCCAGCTTCATCTTCACACACAGCAGGTTGTTGTTGTTTTCAACGAGGCGCTCCACCTGTGACCTCACTTCTGTAAGCTCTGCTTCCAGGTCCTGTATCACCTGGTTGAGAGGGCCCAGGCGCATACCATACTCCAGTTTGGTGTTCCTCAGGGTTTCCTCCAGATTGTGGATCTGAACAGGAATACATGGATCATTTTTAGTCATCGCATAACAGACCAAGAAGACAAAACCTTAATAGAACACATATAAAAGGTGACTGTGACTTCTCAGGAGCCTTGACCTTGTTTTTTTGTGCAAGAGCAGATCTGGGTGGCCTGTCAGACTAAGACAGATCACAGGTGTAAAGCATAATAACAGAGCCGTCAGGGATTCTTGTGTAAAGGCCAGGTAGGGTTAGAGCCCTGAGGGTGGTTTTATAATTCCTGACAGACTTTGGTTCTATTACATGCCTGAAATTTGAAAATTTCGAGCTTAAGGTTTGAGCGTGATATGAAGTATGACTGATGTCCCTGAATTTTGCATATGCTGTAGTGTGATTATATTATAAGTATAAAATAAGTATTTTACCTCCTACATTTTTACACAAATACCTGTACTTTATTCTCCTTACATGTTTAAACTTGAAGGGAATTCCAGTTATTTTTTGCATCATTGTGCCCCTTCCCAACTTCAAGACTGGTTCATATCACGCACAACAGACATAATGTGACAAAAACAATGTACTTTTTTACTTTTACTTAAGGAAAAGAAGATGAATCAGTGCTTCTACTTTTACCTTTTTTTCCACAAGTATCTCTACTTCTACTGTACTGGCTTGTGTGTGTGTGTGTGTGTGTGTGTGTGTGTGTGTGTGTGGTTACCGTGCTGTGCAGACTCTGGATCTTAATTTCCAGAGTCTGCCTCCGTTTGATCAGTTCCTTTAACTCCGTCTTTCCAGACTGCAAGTCCTCGTTGCTTTGTGCCTCCACCACCTTGATGTTTTCAAACTGGAGAGGGCAAGACAAGATGGGAATGGTGAGATACACAGAGGGGGAGAGAGGAGTTAGTACGGAGAAAGAAAACACACATGAGGTCACATACCTTGCTCTGATACCAGTCCTCTGTCTCCTTCAGGTTCTTCTGGGCCAGTTTCTCATACTGGGCGCGAATGTTGTTGAGCTTCTCGGCCAGGTTGGAGTCCTGGGAATCAATCTCCACTGTCACCACAGAGTTCTTGATCTTCTCACGCAGGGCATCCACCTCCTGCAACAGTTATAAGCATCAGACTCCACACAGTCCAATTTCATTAGCTGATTTTAAACTGTGAGCTTTTTCTTTGCTTCAGTCTCACCTCTTTGTGTTCCTTCTCCAGGCGATCAAGCTCCCCTTTCACCAAATCAATCTCTTTCTGGGTCTGCTGGTGGTTCAGTTTGGTATCCTCAATGGTCTTCTTCAGATCCTCCAAGTCTTTCTCTAATTCCTTCCGTGCCTTTGACTCATCCTCCAGCCTGCACACAGGAGGAGGAACCCAACAATGATCCACACAACCACTGACTCTTACACTTTAATCTCAATTGTCATCTAAATTGTTGACTGTTTTAATCTAGACTACATGAAACTCACTTGTTCTTGAAGTCATCATCAGCCAGTTTGGTGTTGTCAATCTGGAGCAATAGTTTGGCGTTGTCCATGGTGATGTCTTTGATCTAAAAAGAGGAATGATTGATAACCATTTTAACACCATTTTATTAGATTTTTTAAAATTTGCATGGATGTAAGCATGGAAAATAAATAAATAAAATGACCAACCTGCTTCTTGAGGTCCTCCAGGGGTTTCTCAATCGCATCCCAGTTGCGCCCCTCGGGTGCTTCTCTCTTGGCCAAAATGTCATCGATCTGTTTCTGCAGATCTCCGTTTTCCTTCTCCAGCTGCCTCACCCTGCCCAGGTAGCCGGACAGCCGGTCGTTCAGACCCCGCAGTGTCTTCTTGTCGTCCGCGGGGGCTGGAGGAGCGGCCGGGGCGGCAGGAGTTGGGGCAGCTACAGGTTTTGGTGGAGCAGCCGGAGCGGAGTCCTTTTCCGGCTCGTTGCGCAGCACGTTACGCAGCCCCTCCAGGCTCGCCACGGACACCCTGGAGCCCCTTCCCCCGGCTCCACCAAACATACTGGCGGCAGTGTTTGAAGGCATGATTGGTGCTGGATGTGAGAGAGCTGACACTGACTGACAGAGACTGTTTCAGACTGGAGAGTCACCTGGAGGATGGATGACAGCTATGTACAGGTAGGTTTTATACCTGTTTATTACACACCAATCCGCCCACAGTGTTACCATTGGCTCCCCACTCCTGGACAAACTGGTGCAGAGTCGAAATTCAAGTATTTCATGTTGACTTTTCCTGTTTTTTAACTATAACCACGCACTTGTCCTTTTCTGATTGGACGCATGCAGGGTTTTGGGGAGGTGATGGGTGGTCCTTGTCCACCTTAAAAGATGGTGATCCGGAGGGCTGCAGGTACCTTCACCGCTCACCTGTTCAGCTTCCAGTTGTCAGCTCTCTGCTACAAGCTTCAGAATGTCGAAACCAAGAGACTACAGCAGCCAGTCCTACACCCCCGGCACTGCGGGACCGGTGAAGAGCTCCCCGACCAACAACAGAGTGGACTCGTCGGGCAAATCCAGGGAGAAGGACGACATGGTTGGACTTAATGACAAGTTCGTCAGGTTGATTGACAAGGTTGGTAAATTATATTATTACTATTTGCGATATATCTTTGGTTAAATTAATTCATTTCCATATAAACACAATTTAATTTTATTATACTTTATTTTATACTTTTTAAAATGTTCTTAAAATTAGGCAATAAAAAAATACAGAAGTTATAACTAAATAAAAACCTGTGTAATACATGTAAACTATTAAATATGATTTATTTAATATAATTCAATAGTTTTTTGGGGTTATTTTCATTATTTATTTCAAAATATTTATTGATTTTGTTTGGTTTATTCAGTAATTTTTTTATTCGAACCGTCATACATACAGATCAATATTAAGTTCAAGATCAAAGTAAAAACAAGCCTTTGTGGAGGAGAAAACCTGTTTCCAGTCCTTGAGCATGACTTACGACAGCCTGCCTGTAATTCTGTGACCTGAGGCCATGAATAGGCTTCACTTCATGTAAAGGATGGTGGAGGTTACATGTAGGACGCCACCTTGTGGATAGTTAGATAACTGTAAGTCCGTGGTCTATAAGGGTCAGTGTGTCAACATAACCTGAACCACACTGTACTGTATTTAGACTGTGCTGCTTTCTGAGTAAATGGGTGAAAACAAACAGCACAACAACACCTATTTCTTTCCAAACAAACATGATAAGAAGCTACACATACATTTTTGGAGTGTGCAAAAAAATCCTCACCTGTCATTATCATAATAATAAGATGTAAAACTTGGCATCTAGCTACAGCATATATCCACACCTGGCATTTCTTTCTTACAGCTGTTTTGTTCGCTTTTTTTGTTGTTGTTGCATTTCTGTCCACCAGCGCCCCCCCTCCCTCACTTTGTCTGTCTCCTGTCTCAGGTGAAAAACCTGGAGGATGAGAACAAAAAGCTCGACACAAAGCTGAAGATCCTCAAGGAGCAGGAGGACTACGATGGGAAAATCGACGAGATCGTCAGGCAGATGGAGAACGAGCTGGAGAGGCAGATCGAGAACTTGCTCCGCGACCAGCAGAAACTGCAGGCCGAGCTGCTCAAGAAGCAGGACGAGGTGGAGGAAACCAAGAAGAGGTCAGCAGGTCACGGTGTAACTGATTTGACTGAATGACTGATTTTCTTTTCTAATTCACTGTTTAGACTCACTAAACCTCCACTATGTCTTTAAATAAAAAAAAAAACAAGCTGTGCACACATACAAGATGTTCTGATTTTGGTCGTCATTGGCACAATTTAATAATTCACCCTTTATTTTCTCTTGGTTTCAGCTATGAAGACGAGCTTCAGAGGAAAGCTGACCTGGAGAATGAGTTTATTGTCACCAAAAAGGTACTGGAACCATTTAGAAACAACAAAACTTGAAATACATGTACTATACAGGTTACCTTTTAAAGAATTTCAGACGATTTAAATCAATTGTTGTGTTGTATTGCATAAACTGTGCTGTATTTCATAGATATGTACATTTTTGGTTTAATGTGTGTTCATAACAGGATGCAGATGAAGGTCACTTGGCGACAGTAGATCAGGTTCTGGAACTGGAGGACCTGATGGGAAAACTTGACTTCCTAAGGCTTGGCTATGATGAGGTAAAGATAAGGTTTATTTTGTTTTCATTGGTCTCTCCCCTTGTTGTTCTTTCTCTCTAATCTGTGAAGCTACAACCTGTTTGACCCAAAGGAGACACTGTAACAACAACTTACATAGTTACATAACAGTATAATAATAAATATATCAATGTACTGTGACGGTGTGTTCAGGAGGAAACCAACAAATTATTTTTTGTGATGCGTATCTTCTCTAAATTATGAGCTAAGAGTAGTGGATAAACAGTTATGATGATGATGATGAAGGAGGTTTAAGCTCCTCTGACTTTGGTGTTATGTGAGACAAAAATGGTATGCAACCATAGCTGTACAGGACAACAGGTCATCAAATATAGTGGGAAAGGACTGTATGAGCATGAAACAGACAGACAAACTGACACTGAACATGAAACTAACTTTGTTGTATCCATGTCTGCCCCCTGCAGGAGATCAAGGAGCTGGAGTCCCAAGTCCAGAACGAGACAGTAATCTTGCGCGACAACAGCCAGCGGTCTCTGGACATGGACGAGATTGTCGACAGTGTCAAGAGACAGTATGCCAACATGGCCTCCCGTACCAGGGAGGAAGCCGAGCAATGGAACCAGAAAAAGGTGAGGAAAAGGAAGCTCATACCCAAAGAAGAAGACATAGCACTTGGCTTTTTTGAGCTTACGAAGTCAGGTGCTTATTCTACATGTCTTTACACCACTAAATCCATCTAATAAATTATTATGTGATTCTCAGTACAAAGCCTGTGAGGCCCGATACTGCATGAATTCTCAATATCATTCAAATTTGACTGTTTTTTCCCTTCTTCACCCCCACTTAGATGGATGCCATGGTGCTAAATGTAGGACAGCGCGAGATGGAAGTGCGTGATTTAAAGAGGGACATCTCAGACATGGTGCGCTTCATCCAGAGGCTCAATGGGGACCTGGAAGCTCTCCGAAGGAAGGTTGGGACTACACAGATGAAGTTCATATATAGAATTTAGGCTTAAATCTTATCCATCCAGACAGCCTCTGATTTTCTCCTCTTTTTTCCTGTTAGGAAGAGTCCCTGAAGAAGGAAATCAATGATCTGAGGACAGAAGGTGACGGAAACCTGGATAAGGCCCGGGAGGACATCGTCCAGCTGGAGGAGGCTCTGAGGCGTGCCAAGCAGGATTTAGCCGGACAGATCCGCGAACACCAAGAGCTGATGAACCTCAAGCTGGCCCTGGACATCGAGATCGCCACCTACCGCAAGCTGCTGGAGGGCGAGGAACAGAGGTATGTGAGCAGTGGGGATCTGGGTGAGAGCAAAATGCCTGAGCTTCTATTCCATGTGTTCTCTCATGTTTGTTGAAATGATGCATTAATGTTTTCACTAACAACTGTCTCTGCTCCATCTCTGTGAAGAATGAACGTCCTCATGCGCAACTCAGGTGAGAATCTTTTTTTCTCTTTTTTGTTGCTTTTTCTGACTTTTCTGGAATTAGCAACCATTTCTGGGTTCATTTGGTCGCTTCTGGGTGTGAATGACTTTTCCCCCACTGGTGCTGGACAAATGTAAAGATGTGGAAATCACTTTGACTTTAGGTTTTGTCACTTTTCAGACCTTACATGCACAAAAAAATCTATATAACATACTAACAGTGTAAAACACCCCAAAAAACACAATATGGTCTCTTTATTGTTGCAGCTGGTAAAGGGGAGGCTAATTTCAATTAATTATATACTGTTGGATAGCTTAATCTTTAATAATATTTAATATTTTATTTGTTGATAATATTTTGTATTAATAATCTCAACCTGTTATAGTAACTAAATTCATCAAAACATGTAGGGGAGAAAAAAATACAACATTTCCCCCTGAAGTGTAGTGTATAGGAAGTATAAAGTAACATAAAATGGAAATACTCAATAGAAATACTAAGTAAAGTACCTCAAAATTGTACTTAAGTACAGTACTTTAGTTAATGTACTCATGGTACAGTGTCCAAATGTACACAAAGTACTGCTTGCCCACTTTTAACTTAAAGCAACTAGCTAAAATCTTCCCTGTCAGGATGTTGTTTAAAGGAATTCTGGGAAATGTATGAAATCACTAACTGAAGTGGAGGTAGACCAAGAAGGTTAAGAGGTACCTAAAAACTAAATTGAATATAACTATAATATTTAGGCCAACAAAACAGTAGTGGAGAAAAATGGACATGGTGAGAGAAACAAATCCATATCATTCATACCAGCATTCTCATGACTGATTCATGTTTTGTGTCCCACTAAAATCAAACCTCTCTTTCGCTCAGATTTCTAAAAACAAACCAACCAATCCAAGTCCTTGCTTGCACGCAGACGTTCACCCTCCAGAGAAGCCACGAGCCCCAGAACCCACCATCGTCCCGGCCACCACCTATATCCCGACAGACGCCGTTATCCTGCCAGCGTACGGCTCCTCCAAGAAACGCCTGCTGATCCGGGTGGAAGTGGAGGCAGGAAGAGTTGTGTCCGAAAGTTCCCATTACACTGAAGAATGACCGGCACTGTCCATCACTCCTCTGTCTACAGCATTACAGTATATCCACAAAATGTGAATTTAAAATATTAAAATTAAGTTAAATTAAATTAAACATTCCTAAGTATAATTATGACAGTGACTTTCAACGCAATAATCCTTCGTTTGTGTGCTCTCTGGTAAAGTGAACAGTCTAACAATAGCATCTTGGCAGGTTTAACGTTTTTTCCTAGAATCCATTCTTGAAGTTGGAGACATCTTGTTTATGTCAAGCAGTGTTTTTAAGAAGGTTTTCTTGTCTGTGTTTGCATTTGCAAAGACTTGTGGTGTTCCTGGTTACGCTCAATGTATTTTTTCGGCTTTCTTGCAGCTGTTTGTCTCAAACCTCTGACAGCTAAGTTTTCTTAATGAAGTGACCCATAAAATGAGGATCAAGCAGGTGGTTAAAGGAGTGGTTCTGGTTTTGTGTTCTGGTGGTCCACATCTTGTTAATATCAGGAGGGACATACACAAAGTTGTTTCCTAGAATCACGAGAGGTCACGTTAAGGGCGGGCATACTTGGATCTGGCACAAAATGGCTTTTCATAATACAAAACCACCCACAAATACACTCTTTTTTTGTCTGTTTCAGTGGTGCTGATGGAAATGTTTTCTGCAAGCCTTGAATGCTATACATTTTATCAACTTTGGAACTGTTCTCTCTCCTATCTGCACCTTATATGTCAATATGTCAAAGCAATCACACGGAAATCAATACAATACAGTGTTTACTGTTAAGGTGACAAGTATTTGCAATGGAATACAATCAATAAATAAAGCAACATAAACAATGTGTCTGCTTTCTTCTTTTTTTCCATTTACTCACTACTATTTACTTAAAGAAATATTTAGATATTTGTGAAATATATTTATATTTCTAGCCTGGCTCTGTCCAAATCTACCCTTTAAAACTTAATGATTAATACGATAAATCTCAGTTGTTTAATCCATGCAAAAAGTGTAAAAATTACACACATCAAATGGCATATTGTAGTTATTACACTTTCCGTATAGACTAAAATAAACAATCAAGACATAACCTGTTAATTAATTAGCTTTGGAGGTGTCGGTGGGCAGATTTTGGTACCCCAAGGCAGGGCCAGGCGGCTAGCCGCTCCAGCTACATTTAACAGAGAGGAGTGAAAGTGGTGTCGATCTTCTCATTCCACTCTCGGAGTGAATATTTACAAAAATGTTGAACCATTACTTATATGTAAAGAATCCAGACACAATTTGGGCACAGTGTGTTTGTTAGATAAAACCGGTCAGAGGCTTTCTACTCATTAGGAGCTGGAGCCCGAAAGTCTCCCCCTGTCTTCATTTTTCCTTCCACCTCCTCCTCCTCCTCTCCCGGTTCTCCTCTGTCTTCCAGACACGTACGTACACAATATTCCGATGTGGAAAACAAACTTGGCTTAGCAAAGCAACACAGACAAAAGACATACAGAGTGTACCCTGACCCCATGATGATATCCCATCTCTCCTAATGTCCCACAACAGTTCAGACCTTGTTTGCTCTTTAATCTCATTAAAGTCTGCTTTTCCAGCTCGCCTTTACTGGCTGTCTCTTGTCCACCCACATACTGTATGTACCCATTTAAAACCACATCTTGATTGGGGGAACAAATAGCACGGCATACAATTTGTTTAATCAAGTCTCAAATAAAAATCTAATTTCCCTTGAATGGATCTTTACAGCAAATTAAAGTTTCATTCTTCAAATACAATTTGCAAGCAGCAGATGTTTCTCTGAAGCACAAGACTGCTTTTTACAGTATTTAACCAACATTTATCTATCATTATCATTTATATGGCAGAAACTGGAAACTCATAACTTTGTGGATTTTCATTTCCATGTCTCTTTCCTGCGAGTTCTTGCTTAAGCCTTAATCCCCTCATGTGTTGTAGATGTATGACGGACTGTGGATGCACCCTCTCCCCTCTTCAGCTTGCATACCAGTATATAGATAAACACTACTTAGGGAAGTAGGAGTAAACATTGCAAGCAGGTGGGTGAGAGATGGAGAAAAACTATGACCTCTTAAATTGATGTCTGAAGCAGGCAGCACAGAGAAAGGAGGATATACTGTACGTCTTTCCTCACAATGTATTCATGGTGAAGACGGAAGGAAAATCCAGTCTATTTCTCTTAGATATAACTGAGCTCAATTCAGCTTCAACATGAGATTTTGACCATTTTCTTATACTTTTTAAATTAATCTCTAGAGATATAATTTCTCCTGTCAGTGCGATCCTCATTTAAGATCTTAAAATGCTCTTTTTTTCTCTCGATGCACAGATCTTTATTTGTCTGACCTAATCAGCTCTTGAGATAGCAGTAATATCCAAAAGAACACTTGACTGTCTTATAAATAAAAGTCTGTGCAATATCAGAAATTTGTCTCAACTCTGTATATTTTATCTGTTCACAGAGCTGTCACACTTTTATCAACAAAAGAAGATATTCACAGATAAGATATCACAATCTGTGTATAAACTCCTGCCAGGTCAAGATAATTTGCGTTAGACAGATTTATTATTTTGCTCCTTATCTCTAGGAGGCTTAAGAGAATTCAGTAATGTCCAAATGAGTAGATATATTATTTATTATGAAACAAAGAAAAGATTATTGTGAGATTTTTCACATGAAATGTTTATGGAAATACAAGAAAAATAAGCTATATTATTATAATGTTACCTGCTAGACATCAGTACAGTAGCAATGTATGCATGCTGATGTCTAATTAGCCTCACAGAGTGCTAGTATGGCTGTGGCCTCTAAAAGGACCATTCAGACTGGATTTATTTCTCTAAGGGAGGTGGAGTGATTTCATCTGATTTTAATTCAGTGCGTACGTGGGTAATTTTCCACCCCCGGCCCAGTAATAATTACAGCCTTGTATTTTAAAGTGTACCTGTGAGGTTTTTTCCCATGATCACCTGCTTTTCCAACTGCATTTTATTTATCAGCCCAGTGTGAAATGTGACTGGAAGTTAACACCAACATAAAGGCCTGTACGATGACAACAATTAAAGCCATCAGGAGAGCAAGACCCCGTGATGGACTATAGCTCAGTATTGGTATTGTCTTTCGGCTAATCCTACAAAATGTCCATCTCTACGACAAAGCAAATCCTTATTTTTCAGTGGTTAAAAGAATGAGTTAAATTACGGAGAAGCAGAGACAATATTTTTACATTTTCTGTATCTCCTGATACAGTAATATTGTCAGTTAAATTATGAAAATCTGTGGTAAACCTTCAGAAAGTACAGTCACCCAGTGTAGTGGTGGTAAAACAATGGGTGGCCTTTTTTTGGGATCATTGATAAGTAAATTGTGAAAGAATCAACGGAAATGTGTTATCCCCCCCCCCCCCGGTGGCCTTAATCAGTATACTGTGGGCATGATGTTCATCAACCCTAGTAACATCATTTCTTGCGGAATACATCCTCATAAATATTCATATTCATCAGTCTTTCTTTAGACGGCCACTTCCTCCTCTGATCCCTGCGTCCGTCGCCTCCATCTGTCTCTGAGTTTCTGGAGAAGTTTGTAAGCTGGTTCGGTATACTGCCTGTTAGCCAGGCCGAGAACCAGCGGCACCACAGCCATGCTTCCAATACCGGTGCACGAGAGCACGATGTGGGTGGTGGAGTTCCACTTGGTGTCACTCATCAAGAAGGCTATGCAGACGTGCATGTAAATGAGGTAGGGAACCCAACATGCCAGAAAGGTCAGTGACACCGCCACCACGCAGCGAGTGTACCGCAGGTTCAGCTTCTGCTCTCGGTCCGAGGCCTGACTTCCTCGCTCCACTGAGCGATGGAGACGACAAATGTCCTTCAGCTGGCCTCGGGTGATCCATAAAACGCGGCCAGTCATGCCAGCGATGGTAAGAATAGCAGGTAAGACGAGTCCATACACCTCCAAGTAGATAAACGCGTTGGGGAATACTCGCCTGTACGAGCAGCATGTGGTTCTGTTCGCCGAACAGTTTGAAAGTGGCATTATCTGTTGGCTGCTTGGGCAACAGCCGTTCCAATCTGGCCCTGTCCAGTTATTCCACCCAAAAGCAGGTAGAGATGCGTACAGAAGCGGTGGCGCCCACACCACCAGCAATGCTAGAGGAAAACTACGATGCATCCACAAGTTATTGTAATGCAAGGGGTCGACGATGCAAATGTAGCGCTCATAGTGCACCATTACCAGGTTTAAAAGGAACGCCAGGAAGAGGAAGTTTGGGAAAATGTGAGCCACCATGCAGGAGCTCAAACTCAACTCCCGGTTCAAACCCATCAACGGTATGAAAGGCAGCGCCACGCCCGTGCACAGATCTGCCACTAACAGGCTGAGGAAGAAGTAGTTGGGCGTGTTGTGGAGCTGGCGGTTCCAGGCGATGCCCAGGATGATGACCAGGTTGGCCAAGATGATGGAGGTCGACAGCGGTATTGTGATGGCATAGATGAGCTGCTCCTTAGAGAGCAGGGCATGGGAGTCGTTGCAGTCCATCATGTGTGAAATCTGCAGACTTCCTCCCATTCACAGCCCGGCTCCACTCCCATTAAGCAACAGCTACCCTGTGGGGAAGGAGAAACCTTGTTAAAGAAGCGGTAGCGGGTGAACTGAGAGTTTATGCTAACCTATTTGGTGAACATCTAGTTTGTTGTTATTGCTCAAGATGCATAAACAGGCTTGTAGAAACAGAGGAAATGCAATTCAGTGGAGTTGAAAAAAGAGATTCAATAGAAAATGTAGCAGGCAGTGGAGCAGAGTGGATTATCAGAAATTGATTGTGGAATGAAACCAAACCGGAAAGAGAAGATAACAATACACTGTGAAGCTCAGAACAAGTACTGCAGATGTTCAAAGAAGATAAATACGTCAATTCAGGCTGCGGAGACTTCTTGAAAGCCAGTTTAATTTAATAAAAGCTTAACATTCCGTTAAGCTCAAGCAATTCCAGAGTTCAAGAGTCAACTCAAGCCTAGTCATGCTACCATGACAGGAAACTATAAACTACCACTGGGGATAAAGACAGACAAATCCTCCTGACTGAAATAAAAGGAGCATGTTGTCAAAGTGTAATGTTAAAGCTCAAAAGGGAAAAGATTTCAGACCCCTCTCAAGTAGAGAGAAGGAGATTTTAAATTATTTATTCTCACTGCATTTGAAGGGAAGAGCAGAGAAAGATGAAACGGGCAATATTTAATGTAGAAGATGGAGATAAAAGAGTGGAGGAGCTGAGAGAAGGACATTAATGAAAACAGCAGGAGCTTCAGGTAGATGGAGGTATAGTCCTGTTTCGGTTTAGTAATACACACACTGTTTCTGTCTCATCTGGTGATTTATGTTCACCTGCATTTTTTTATGGCTACTTTGGATAAATCATTGAGACCAAAATGATTGCATAAATCCATAACACCCCTACCCTGTATTTCATTATATGTATGCCTGTAGCAACAAACACAAAGCAGCTGTTTAAGATTAAGATCAACTGCAGTACTTTTATTAAATTTGCCACTTGCAGGGCATTTTCTCCACCAAGGTAAACCTGTTCTTCTTGTTTTATGTGTTAAAGCCTGAAGAAAATGACACAGAACACCCTGTTCGATGCTGTATATATATATATATATATATATATATATATATATATATATATATATACTCTGCTTCATGCTATATAACACATTTTCTCTTTGGCGTCTTTGTATGCGATAGAGAAACTTTCTGCAGGCAAGTCAGTGAAGAGGACAGTTACAACACAACAACTATGGCCTGCAGTGTTCCCGTCT